CAGTGCATCTGAGAAGCCTTGGGGCCAGGCTGAGCCAGAGTGGTAGAAATAGTACATGGCAAGGCTCCAGTCCCTAGAACCCTGCTGTGTCCCACACGCCCTATGCCCAGCTTTGTGCTGGGTCTGACATAGGTGCAGCTGGTCTGCCCTTAGGTCCAGTCCCTCCAGCCAATTCTAATCCAGTTGGTCTCTACCCTTCCCAACCAAGGCCATCTGAAAGTGACTGACAAAGGTCCTTCAGAGACAAGTAAGATGATCTGATGCTCCATCTCTTTAAGGCCTTGACACATTTGTTGTGAGCCACACAGTCAAAGGCTTTAGTGTAGGTCAATGAAGCAGAAGCAGATGATTTTCTGGAACTCTCTTGTTTTCTGCATAATCCAGCGAATGTTGGCAATTTGATCTCTATTTCCTCTCCTCTGCAAAAACCAGTCTGCTCTTCTGATAATTCTTGGTTCATGTATTTCTGAAGCCTCTTGTAGGCATAACCTTGCTGGTATGTGAAATGAGCTCAATTGTTCAGTAATTGGAACAATTTTTGGCATTGCCGTTCTTTAGGATTGGGATGTAAATTGATCTTTTCCAATCCAGTAGCCACTGTTGAGTTCCAATTTTTTTCTGAATAGTGAGTACAGCACTTTAACAGCATCAACTTTTAGGATCTGAAGTAGATCAGCTGAAATTCTGTCACTTCCATTAGCCTTTTTATTAGCAATGCTTCCTAAGGCCTGCTCGACTTTATTTTCCAGGATGTCTGGCTCTAGATCAGTAACCACACCACAGTAGTTATCAGAGACGTCAAGATCTTTATTGGATAGTTCTTCTGTGTACTCTTACTTTCCCCCCCAATATTTTTAAACCTGGAAGATTAATATTCTTCATTCCCCATTTTGGTATATCCCAATCATAACTATTCCTCTGGACTGTCCTACATCTTCAAAGGCATTTGATGCTCCAATGTTTTAGTTTCTAGGAAAGAAGGGACCCATGTGCATGGCCCTGTATTGAACTATCCTCTGGGGTAGCTAAGCAGCCAGGTTTTTTCAGATGAGTCTCACTAGGCCTTACTTCAAAAATATGCATATAAAGAAGATGTGGAGATCGCTCCACTTTTTTAAAAAAATTAAAGCTTACATGATACTGTTCATAATCCTTTGTCTTCAACATGCAGAGCTCTGATCTTATTGAAGTTTGCCACAAGCAGTATGTGGAAATTTTTCTTATACTGTGCTATGAAAACTTGTCTGTTGGAACTGTCCCAAATGGCAGTTGAATTTGTTGAATCTGATCACACCACAGAAAGAGTTTCTTACTAAATGGAAGATCTGAATATCCTTTTGCTAAACATTTTCAGTTATAAAATCAGCTCCAGGGCAGGGAACTTGGCCCTTCTGTTGAAGTAGCAATGGGTATGAATATGTTTTGGGGTCAGAGAATGCTACAAGACTGAGGCACTGGTTAAGTGCCATGATGATCACAGAAAAGGCAGAGAGGTCTTCAATACCACAGGCAGAAGCAGGATCCAGATCAGTCTAACATTGTGGCAAGTCAGGAAGCCTTTCTGAGAGAGAAGGTACAAGTAAGCTACTGGTGGCTTTGTAAACACTAGGGCCTACAAAGGGTCATTTTCTGGATGTCTTCATGAGAGTGGCTAATTTTTCCAGCCTGTTAGTAGAAGTAGTTGTCTGAGGCCTCACTGTACCATGGAGCCGACTCTGGAATCTTGAAAGCTTATACCCATGGTGCACACTATCTGCCAGGTTCTACCATAATCAAAAAGCTTCAAGTATTCTGGAAAAAGACTGAGGTGCTGTTTAGCATTGAAGCTCCCTTGTAATCTGGCCTCAGCATACCTTTGTTGGCTTACTGTATATCACTTCCTTTCACACACTCTTAAGTTCCAAGCAAATTGGCCTATCTGCTGTTCCTTATAAAAAATATTGCATCTAGGCAAAGCCAAGAGGGCTGAGTGAAAGCAGGGACTCACTTGAGCTCTCCCCTGAATCTCTTCAAATACCTCTAAAAAGTGACTCTGAATAAAGTCTAGAATGGCAGAAACCATAGTGAGACCAATTGAGGCAGATTTCCAGCCCAAGGCAACCTGGAAGGTCGACAGCACAGGTCTGTTGCACTGGCTTGAGAGAGGAGTGTCCAGCACTCAGGGCACAGCACAGATCTGGCCTAAACAAAGCCAGAGTAGGCTTTGAGGACTGAATCACCAGCAGCAGTGGTACTTTGCAGTCTTCTCAACCCACAGACTCCAGAGACAACTTAAAAGGTCAGTGGGAGGGGTCTATCAGAAGGAACCGGGGGAGAGAGAAGCAAAGTCCGGTCCAAGGCTGCAGGGTGTGCCAATACAGCTCTGGCTCAGCAAACCAGTAGCAGGCCCTGGGAGTGACGGAATCCACAACAGTAGCGGTGGCAGTCGGGGCAGCAGTAGCAGCAATGGCAGTGACAGCTGCTTGTAGAGCCCACAGATTGAATGTTTGAAAGTCACCTATTTCAACTTCTGAAAGCCAAAATGGCAGAGTAAAGAGTAAGTTGCTCTCACCTTCCCTTATTGACTTTGAAAAACCAGAGAATATTGCCCCAGGAAAAACCCTGAAATAGTAGAGAGGCTAGAAAACAGAAAGACTAGCTATAGCAGTCTTTTAGCTCCTGAAGGCTAGGGGGATTAATGGGAAAGATCCCTCTTGCTGTGACCTAAGGGGACTAGTACAGGAAGGACAGCATCTCAGAAAGCTAGTGGCAAGCCACACCTCAGCAAACCAGTAACCAGGCCCCTAGTCCCTAGCACAAGAAGCCTGGAACAGTTTCCCCTATGCCCCACAAGCAGAGATCAACTTTAAAAGCCAGTAAAAAGTCAAACAACATGAGCAGAAAGCAACATAGAAAAACAATGACCATAGAGAAATATCTCAGTGACAGGGGAGATCAAAACACAAATTCAGGAAAGGACAACACTGTCAATATACCCTTGTGAAACTCAGAGGGGAATATGAACTGGTCTCCAGCCCAAAAAGCCTTCTTGGAAGAGCTCAAGAAAGATTTTATAAGTCAAATAAGGAGGTAGAAGAAAAAAAAATTGAACAATTCCTTTCAAACTACAGTTGACAAAATGGAAAAAAAAAGTACACTGAAGAAAACAACTCTATAAAAAGTAAAATAGGCCAAAGAGAAAAGGAGGTACAAAAGCTAAGTGATGAAAACAACTTATTAAAATTAGAATTGGGCAACTGGAAGCTAATGACTCTATAAGACATCAAGAATCAGTCAAACACAATCAAAGAATGAAAAAATAGAAGAAAATGCAAAATACCTCATTGGAAAAACAACTGACCTGGAAAATAGAGATAATTTAAGAATTATTAGTCTACCTGAAAGCCATGATGAAAAAAAGAGCCTGGACATCATCTTTCAGGAGATCATCAAGGAAAACTTCCCTGAGGCCCTAGAAAAAGGGTAAAAGAGTCATTAAAAGAATCCACCTATCACCTCCTGAAAGAGATCCCAAATTGAAAATGCCAAAGAATATTGTAGCCAAATTCCAGAATTATCAGGCCAAGGAGAAAATCTTGTAAGCAGCCAGAAAGAAACAATTCAAATATCATGGAACCACAGTCAGGATTACACAGGACCTCGCAGCTTTTACATTAAAAGATCGAAGGGCTTGAAATATTATATTCTGTAAGGCAAAAGAGCTTGGATTACAACCAAGTGTCCACTACCCAGCAACACTGAGCATAATATTCAGGGGAGGAAACATTCATTCAATGAAACAGGGGACTTTCAGACTTTGTGATGAAAAGACCAGAGCTCAATGGAAAATTTGATCTTCAAATACAAGACTCAAGAGAGACATAAGAAGGTAAACAGGACAGAAAAAAAACCCCAACAGTATGTTATTAATAAGGGCAAACTGTTTACATCCCTACAAAGGAAGATGACACTTGTAACTCTTGAGAACTGTAGCTGTATTACGGTATTTAGAGGGGGATATACATTGACGGAGGGGATGGGTTTAAGTTGACTTTGATGTGATGATAAAAAACCTGATGAAGTGGTGAAAAGTAATTGTAATGGGAGAAGAGGAAAGGATGAGGCAGAAAAGGGTAAATTACATCACATGAAGAGGAGATAGAGAGACACAAAGACATATTACATTAGAGGGAAAGAAGGGAGGGAGATGAGCATTGTTTGAACTTTACTCTCATCGAATTTTGCTCAAAGAGGGAAATAACAATCAGTTATGCATAGAAAACTAACTTGTCATATAGGCAAGTACTGCTGTTTATTAGAATTAAAATTCTTCACTTTGTATTTGATCTCTTTGGGATCTAAGTGGTATCCCAGCATCAAAGAACATATATATGAACAGCATTTTCAAAATGCTGTTTGAAATAAGAGGGAACAAGTCCTGGCTTCACCCATAGTGTTTCTGTGCTTCTTTCTTCCCATGGTCCCAGCCCTTCTAAAGCCAGATGCTGTGGCTCCTAGGGGGTCAGGCCAGGCTAGGCTGCCCAGAGAATGGTCCTCCCTGGCTATGCAGTGCCCAGGTCTAGGGCTCTGAGGCAGCTCTGATCTTACAGGGAGTGAGAACTCTGGGAGGTCCTTAGTCTTTTGTTGCTGGCAGCTCAGTCAGGGCCAACCAGAGGCTCTGCTGTAAGCTCTTCGGGCTCCTGGCAGCCTGGCTGGGTTGTGGGGCTCATTCTGGACAATCTCAGGAAGGAATGAAGAAATCTTGTATTTACCCCAGTGTTCAGTGACAGATGCTGTCATCCTCCAAGGCTTTGGCTTGACTGCCTGGCTTGGGAGAGCCTCATGACCTTGGAATATTCCAGCAGATGGTATCTAGCAACCTTCAGGGTTCCAGTAACAGAAGGCCAGCTACTGGCCATCCATGTAAGATGCCTGTGGCAGTTTTTTTTTCTATTTTTTAATTTCAGGTAAGCTAGTTGGTGGATGTATGTTACCCACACCAGGAAGTCTGTGTCCTTGCAGGCTATGAAACCTTTGCCTTCTGACTTCTGCAGTGGAAAGCCACGGTACAATAGCAGGCGTGCCATCTCTGCCCTCTCTAAGACCTACTGTGCTTGGGTCAAACAGCAGGAAGAGGTAGGTAGTCTTCCCTGAGCAGTTCTCTGGGCAGAAAATGAGTGCTCAGGAGATGGTTTTATCTTGTCCAGCATGACCATGAAGCAAGGGGACTGGTTTTCAGGTGTGTGGCAGATGGATAAGGAACTCAGCATGCACTGGAGTGGAGTCTGTGTTCATTTTAGGACTCTACTTTGCTGTTGCCTGTTTGCTTTCTTTTGAGTATCTCCTGAAGACGGGAGATAATTTAGCTTCCCTCCAATAATGATGCCGGCATTAATCCTAGGAGGAAAACTCATTTCCAAAGTAAATTGGTTTGCTATAGCAAATGTACCAGGGCAGAAAGTTGCTCTTGTCCTTTGGAAAGGATCAGTGATCCCAAGGTTTACTCTGATACCAGTTGTTAGGGCCACTCTTAATTTTTTATGACATTCATTATATTCTAAAGCTTTTTTCATGAAGTAAATGCAATATGACCTGCTGGAAACCACAAAGACAAAAACCGATCTGAAAATTTCTCCACTTCCCTTGTCTCTACCTTCTGCTTGGGAGCTGTTATTGTCCCACCTCTGAGCAGGACCTGCTCTTGCTATGGGCCTTCCCAGGATAGGTGAGAAACTGAAGTCTGCCTATGAGAAGATGTCATCCATTCCATCGCTAGGTCCTTCTTCAGCCCTAGTCTCTTTCTAGCCTTCTCTCCCTTGCTAGCATTTTGATTGGTGACCTCCACCTCCCATTCACTCCCTTTCTCACCTCCCACCCTTCAGACATTCCTCATCTGGTCACTTTGTGTTCCCTTGGTGTCAGCACTGGGCTCTAAGGTGCAAGAGCATCGTATGCCCCAAACATCTGGTCTCAGAAAGCTCTGTTGAGGGCTAGAGGCTTGAGAAACTGTCAGAATTCACAGTGGATCATCAAATGGATCATGAGTCCACAGGGCTGGCTCCTAGGCACCTGTTCATTGAGGTTTAAAACAAGCAACGTCAACACAGAAAGACAAGATTCTGAATATGCACGTCATTGCTTCAACCGTACTAAACATCGCCACTCTGGTCCAGCCTTGGATAGACCCTCATGTGAGTTCCTAGACATCCCACTAAGTGTTGGATGGGTTTTCAGGGTGCTCCATAAGGCATGTGTCCTTCCAAAAACGCAGCCCCCAGAGCTCTCCATGTCAGATGTGGTCTGGCCAGGAGATTGCCACTGTCTAATGCTACCCCTGTATTATGGACACTATCTGTCTGTCCATTCCCCTCTTTCTCTCTCTCTCTCTCTCTCTCTCTCTCTCTCTCTCTCTCTCTCTCTCTCTCTCTCTCTCTCTCATCTCTGTCTTTCTGTCTCAGTGTCTGTGTCTCTGTCTCTTTTTGTTCTCTCTCCTGTTTTTGTCTGTCTTCCTTCCTCTCTCTCTCTTGTCTCCATCTCTTTGTCTTTCTCTGTCTCTTCCTCTCTTTCTATGCTCTCTCTCCTCTTTCTCTCTCTGTTTCTCTCTTCCTCTCTCTGTTTCTATGTCTCTGTCTCTGTGTCTACCTCTCTGTATTTGTCTCTGCCTCTGGATTCAGCCCAAAGGCCCCCTCCTTTTCTGGGCTGCCATATTGCACTTGGCTCCTATAGAATTTGCAGTCCACTAAAGTCCTCCAGCCTGTCAGGTGAACTGCAGCTCACATATCCTACACCATCCTGTCTTGGGGATGTGGCTTTATCTTCACATAAGTAGATTTGACTTCTGGCTAATGTACTCTGCGATCCCACACCCCTCTGACCATCCTATCCTGCTCCCTTCAGGTAGCTAACCTGTAGGGCTGTCACTCCCAAGATTGTTTCCAGGATCCAGTGAGATAGTGAGCTAAAAAGCATTTATTAAGGGCTTGTTCACTGCAGTGCTCAGCCCCTGGGATACAAAGAAAGGCAAAACCCTAGTCTCTGGCTCCTGGAGTTCCCAGTCTAATGCCAGTAACTAAGCACGTCCAGTATGTGTGTAGTGCAAAGGAAGGAGGCCCTGGGTTCAGTAGGGCCCTTGGTGGCCTCCTAACATGGGTGAGCTGGGAGCAGAGTCTTGAAGGAGACCAGGGAAGGTGGAGGCTTTGGTGGAGAAGGATTTCCCAAGCAGCTTGGGAATCTGAAAGGGGCCCAGCCCCACTTTTAGGATGGTCATTTCATTACCTGGACAGTGGCATTTGATCCTTCAGGCCTGACCACAAAGCCCCCAGCCTGGGGCCCCTATCTCCAGCATGGTCTTTTCTATAAGACCCAGTGGGGGCCACTTGGGTGTTCTGCATACCTGCCCAGGTGGGGTACTCACCTTCAAACTTTGAGGCCCCCTTAATGTAAGCCCAGCTCAAGGGCCCTGCCTTTATCCTCTGGCACCTTGAATTTCAGGTTAGGTACCTGGGGACTCATCCCCTCAAGCTTCTATTCCTCCCCTCCCTGCTCCAGCTACCAGTTCGGTTAGACCTTGCCTGAATGTGATGAGACCTTACTTGCTATGATGGACATACGTAGTCATGTCTGAGAGAGCTTCTTTTGGATTCCAAGAGTGAAGTGTTAGCAACCTGTTAGGGTACTCTTTGAGAGCCTTGGGGCAGCTTTGGATAACCTCCTATAGATGATAGGGGAAGTAAGGTTCCAGGTCATCACTGCTGTCATTCAGGAGCCCAGCGGGCAGCAAGGGCCTGTCAGGAGCGGTCTAGGTTGCTTTGAGGTCAGTAAACTCTATACAGAACCTTCAAACAAGGGGACCCTGAGTCCTCTGATAGCTCTCTCAGCAAGTGGCCATCTCTCAGCGAGAGCAGAGTCTCTGTCAATCTAAGATGCTCCTAGACAAGTAAGGAATCTAAGGAGAACCTCATAGCCTAGTTCCAGGCTCCTGAGAGCAGCATCAACCTTTTGAGAATGCTGATTCAGCCAAAAACAACCTCCTCCAAGATGCCCACCTCCATAGTCCCTGCTTACAGAAACATCTGAGTTTCTGGATTACTTGGCAGGCCCTAGGAATGTTCTTTAGTATGTGATCAAAATCTAAGTGTTCTTCTGCCCAGAGGGTGGTCAGATCTTCCTAGGGAGCACAGAAAAGGAGACAGACATTCAACAAAACCCAGAGAACTTTTCAGGCTGTGGCAACCCCAGAGTACTGCTTCACCTCAAGACTTCCCTGACCTCCATGGGTGCTATTGGATCAAACCTAGAGAGGCTGGTCCTGGTAACCTGGTGTTATCAGGAGGACAGGTGGGCAGCTCCTGCTTTCACCTCACCTTGATGTGGACAGTGGTGTCCCTTTGGAAGTCCTCCTTCAGGGAGGCTTGCTATCAGGTCACCAGGCCCTCCAGGACAGCCAAATTGTCCTCGTGGCTCTACTCCCATTCCCCGTCATATATATGTCTTCCCACTGCAGCCCCTTTATTTTTCTGTTTAGGTCACTCAGTCACCCTTTTCCACACTGGTGCCTCAGGGATTTTTTTTTATGACTTTCTTCTGTATTATTATTATTATTATTAATTAGGCAAAGCCTAAAAGGAAATTGGTCTCAAGGACTGTGAAGTCAGTTGGAACAGTGGATATTTGATTATGACAGGCCTGGGGGAGGCCTCACTAACCTGATTAGACAAAGAGGTCCTGCAGGGAGGCAGCTGTGGTCAGGTGGTACCAGGTATTTCTGAAGCAGCAGTGGAACAGGTGAAAGAGCCAACCTGTAAACGTCCCAGCAGAGGGATTCAGAGACTTCACCCTGCAAGTCTGTCATGTCCCAGAGCTAGCCTGCTCCCAGCCTGTCAACTCTGCAGCCCCTTCTTGCTATTCTGGCTCTAGCTGTGCATACAGATCCTTCTGTAACAAGCCCATCTTCACACAGTGTCCTAGAGTTATTCCACCCATGCCCATGGTGCCCCTGCATAGGAATGAGGAAGCTCCTTTAGGTGCACTGTAGGGACTATCCTGGGCACTGTGCCCACCCACTGGCAGAACCAAAATGAAAAGCCGATCCCCATCCACAAGAAAACACCAACATGGGAGACTGCATTCTGTAAGGTGGATGTAAGGCCAGGCTGGTCCATAAGTGCTTGCCCTGAAGGGAAGGGAAGAAATGAAGATCCACCCAGAAGAAGAAAGCCTCAAGAATGCCCCATTTTCATGCTAAGGCTTGAGCCCTCCCACCCTGAAAACCCCCATCTGGAGCCAGACTGCAGAGTTCTCCATCTTATATGAGAGATAAAGTCCCCCCCGCCCCCAGCTATAGGGTACCCTTCAAAGTAAGTGGTGCACTGCCTGAGGAATGGGGCTCCAGAGGGAGGAAGTGACGCCTACCTGCACAGTCATCCTCAGAGAAGTATCTTGAGGAGCATTCAGAGATGTTATAGGTGACTTTGTCCAGGTGAGCAGCTGGTGAGAGGCATTTCCCACTTCTGGATTTTCTCCTCAGCGTCATAGGGGTTACCAAGCATGAGAAGCAAAGATAAGAGAGTGAAAAAGAAGAAGGGGGGAAAAGATAGGGAGAGGGGAAGGACAGGATTTGAATGAGACTTTCCTGGAGACTTCTGGGGTGAAAAGAAATGATACCCAGAGCCCTCTGTTCCTGTTCTTATTCCTTAAACAGATGAAGAGTTTTGTTTTTTTTTTGTTGTTGTTATTGTTTGTTTTTCTTTTGTTTTGTTTTGTTTTTAACTTTGGGTTCAGGATTCAAAAAAGCCAGAGGTACCCTGAGCCAAGGAGGGCCTCTTTCCAAATTAAACCACCATGATGAGGTATGAGAGGAGCTAAGAGTCAGCTAAATCTGTCTCGTCACTCACAGGCATTTCACCCAAGAGGCTCCCTGCGCTGTTGCTGGGCCATGCGGCTCGCTCTAAGAACCATGGGCCCTGGGGCTAGTTAAAAGAGAAACATGGCTGAGAGGGGTTGTCCATGCCCAGCTTCAGGCCTCAGTGTTCCAGGCCTTCTCTGAGACTCATGTTGACCCTCCCTAGTTCCTGTTCTCAGAGAGTGAAGGCATCAGCAACCCAGGTTATGGTAGAAGGGGGAGAGATAGTGCTAAGGACAGGAAATTCTCACCTTTGTGGGAAAAGAAAGCAAAAGAGTGATGTCTCCACTCAAAAATGGAGGCAGGAAAGAAATGCACACATGGCAGCGGCAGAAGCCCTTGGTTGCCATGGGCAGTTGTGATGGAGAAGGTGGCTTGGGCTCCCTCTGGCTCTTCTTACCTGAGGGAACTCTTCTTGAAGTTGGTGTGCTGGCCAGGCACCTGGGAACTACCTCCCTCTCTCCCTTGCATATTTGACCTCTTCTAGCTCCATCTTTTCTCCCAATTCCACCTTACGTAGATGTTCCATCTCTCTTCTCAGTAGATGACTGTGTAGGAAAAGGTGATCCCCTTCCCTTCCCAACTCTAAGACAAATTACAATCTTGGCTGTTCTTGCTGCTGTCATTGTCTTTTCCTGGCTCCTTCCTAAGAACAGGGGGAGGAGCAGAAGGGCTGGCCCCAAAGAGTCAAGAGAAGAAACTCGATGTCCCGTCTGCACGATGGGCAGATCCTTCCATTCCTCACCTCGAAACGCTGCTGTTAAGAAAGGGCTTTCCTCGGTTTTAGAAAGAACTGCAAGGTCCAGGTACTCACCAAGATGACAAAGCCTTTGGGAGTGCTGGTGATGTTTGCTGATTAGGTACAGGGCTTTGGGCACATGCTCCAAGGTGACAGCAATGAGGTGGAGCCCTGGGAGCCCTGAAATGCCCAGCACTTGCCAGGGTAGACATTTGGCTATGGGCAGAAGACAAATCACGTAGAAGGTGGTAGCACATGGAACAGATCTGGATCCTGGGGCCCCCTTGCCTTGAGAGCCCAGCCCTCACAGATGAAGGAGGAGACGGCAGACAGAGAGCCAACCTGGGGGACCTCTGTTCAGCCCTACCTGGTGGATGGCTCTTTGGATCTGGAAATGGTACCACAAGGTTATGCCAAACAGACTGATAACAGACATCCTGGTGCCATAGGTCTCTAAGCTTTGGCTACTGAGGATGCTGGCCCCTGAAAAGAGAAACAGGGAGAGGAGTTAGGGGGCACTCAAGGTCTTGGATGACACAGATATGGCTTAGGGCAGCCTTCAAGGCAAGGGGGTGCTGCCAGGGCATCTGCCCTCCTACCTGTGCCACCCCCATTAAGGGCATCCCAATTTGTCAATTCCTCCTGTCTCATAACGGCTATGCTGATTTTTCAGTCCCTCTTGTCCCAAGCCTGCTGGCTTTCTGCAGGCCTCCTACCTGAGGACTCCAGGGCATAATCCACCAGTTCAATGTGATCTTCACTGTAGAGTTTCAGGGCCTGCTGCATGATCTTATGCACTTCCTAAAAGATAGGCATTCATGACTCATGGGCCAGGCCACCTGTAGGGGAAGGGCAAGCACGCTAACTGGTGGGCCTTGGCTTCCCTCTCCCTCCTGGCAGTCTCCTCTCAGGGCAAACCCATGACCTAGCCAGGAGGATGGGCAGAGGGACCAGGTTCAACTCCTTTGTCACTCCTTCCTTTAGAAAGGTCAGCCTGAAGATGGCAGCAGCTTTGCTAGCATACTTGTCCTGCTCCTCTGCCAACTGAGTCAGGATTCCTTGCTCCAGGTCCTAAAGCTGGGCCTGTTCCTCCTCTAGCTGTACAAGCCTGGCCTGAGTGCCCTTGTCTGCAATAAGTAATTGGTGGATCAAGGCCGGGATCTCAGATTCCATCTAGAAGCCACCAGAGGAAAGAGCTCAGCAAACACCTGAGAAACTGCAAGGGTGAGGAAGGAAGAGGGTCTGGACAGGAGACCTGGGATGCCTAGAGACACTCTGAGAGCTCAGGGCCAGCACATGCCTGCCTGGTGCCGGAGAAGGGATGGTTGTGAACCAAATGACTGGCATTTCTCCACTGCTTTTGAGGTCTGCAGAAAGGATCTCATGATATTATCCCACTTGACAGATGAGGAAAATCTCATCCATGTCACAAAGTCCACCCAATAGGTTCAATCTTTAGGAAGTGCCCAGTGGAAACCTCAGATGGTTGCAGCTCCCTGGGCAGATGTCCGGGCAGCAGCAGCCCAGCTGAGATCAAGGGGCATGCATTGCTTAACCAGGGGACTGGAGGACTCACGTCACTGCACAGGGCCACCATCTTTTCTCGCCAAAGGTGTATTTCTTTGGCCACTGCAGCTTGTCTTTGGCTGACGGCCGCCAGCTCCTGCCTCAGGCCAGCCAGCTGGGCCTCCAGGGAACCCATCTCCTTTGGCCTTTTCTCCTGGGAGTCTTCTTGGGACAAACTAGCCAGTGACAAAAGGAAAAATCAAGGTCAACCTTGGCACAGGCACTGGAGGACAGACTCAAACAGAGGCCAGGAAATGGAACAGTGTCACCTGAAGAAAAGCACCACCCAGTGTAAAGGACAGAGCCAGAGAACAGGCTGCAAGACTTTACTGACATTTCCTCCCTGCGGCACCCTGGGTAGGTCATTTCCCTCTGAGGCCTCAGTAACCTCATCTGCTCTCTGAGGTCCTCACTAGCTCGGATCAATCCTATGGACGTGTTAACCCCAGTGTTCTGCCTCCAGTGACCCCCCTTCCACCTGAGGGAATCTCAGTCGTGCCCATCAATTGGGGAATGGCTGAATAGGTTGTGGTGTATGAATGTGATGGAATAGTATTGTGCTATAAGAAATGATGAGCAGGTGGACTTCAGAAAAACCTGGAAAGACTTGTATGGACTGATGCTGAGGGAAATGAGCAGAACCAAGAAAACATTGTATACAGTAACAGCCACACTGTGTGATGACTGACTTTGATATACTTGGCTCCTCTCAGCAATGCAAGGATCTAAGACAACTCCAAAAGACTCATGATGGAAAATACTATCCACATCCAGAAAAAGAACAATGGAGTCTGAATGCAGATGGAAGCATACTATTTGATCTCCTTTTACTTCGTTGTTTTGTTGTATTTCTTCATTCTCATGGTTCCTCCCATTAGTTCTAATTGCACTTGACATCATGACTAATGGGAATATATGCTGAATACGGACATATAACTAGAGCCTATATCAGAATGCACACCATTTTTCGAAGAGGGGAGAGGTAAGGGGGCAATTTAAAACTCAAAATCTTATGGAAATGAATCTTGAAAACTATCAATTAATTTATTATTATTATTAATTAGAAGAAGAAATGTGACCAAAATTAAATTGTGTGGCTTATGAAAAATAGAAAAGTAATTTCTTTAAAAATGGTGGAACACAGAGCCAAGATACAAGGCAAGCTGACACCAATCCTACCAGGAAGGAACAAAAAAGACAAAAGGACCTGCTGATTTTCTCACCATCAGATGTCTGTGGCTCTTTCTCCAGTAGATACAGAGTTAAAGGATATGAACAGGCATTTTTCCAAAGAAGAAATACAAGGGATCAACGACCAAATGAAAATAGAAAATATCCAAATCACAAATAAATAGAGAAATGCCCATGAAGGCAACTCTAAGGTTCTACCTTCTACCTTTCAGGGTGGCAAAGAGGACAAAGAGGTAAAATTAGCCATGTTGGAGGAGCAGTGACAAATCAGGAAGGTTCGTCTAGGGCAGCAATGGGGTGCCAGACTGCAGAGTTCTGGGCCTCGTCTCAGACAATCAACCAGACTTTGTTCCAGAGGGAGATGGAAAGGCATTCCTTCTCTTCAGAGTGTGGCATCAAGAATGAGACCCGGGCTGGAAAGCCCTTCCAGGTAGCCTCCAGTGTGGAGTTCTCCAGCCATTCACTGCTGATGTTTTTAATGGGGCTAAGAATGGGAGGGACATTGTCATCTCCTTCACTCCTTTCTCTCTTTCTAGTCCCGCCCCTTCCCCAGAAAAAGGAAGGACAAAGGGGCTTAACTTTGAACCAGCAGATTGGAGGGCTGCAGATTGGCCTTATGCCCGCCCCTCAGACATTCTTACCTTCTTCCTTCCTCACCCCAGCTCTGCAGCCTCACAGAGAGTCCACCCTCCCATCCTTGGGGGTAGCTCATCCCTTGGAGTTGGCTTTGGGCAGCCTGGAGAATTCCATGCATCTCTCATTTGGCCTAGAAGTGGGGCCTTAGCTTGCTCAGGATCATTTAATGAAGCCCCTTGTTGTCTAGGGGTGTCCCTTCCCATGTGGGTGGAGCAGCTGCTCCACCTCTTCCCTCTAAACCCAGCAGCCCTTCCATCCTGCCCACCCTGCCCCTGTTGTGGCTCCTACTGGAGCTGATTTGGAGGTTATACCAAGGGTGAGGATGTCCCCAGAACCTTGAAACTGGCTGTTGAGGGAGGGAGTGGGAAGGGCCCTCCAACAGTCAGGAGGGCCTTCTTTGCCTCAGAGATGCCCAGAGGGTCAAAGCCAACTAATATTTGTTATTATTATTATTTCAATGTTTTCACATTTGTTTTGAAAACTTTGAGTTCCAAAGTCTTTCCTTTTCTCCTTCCCCATCCCCACCCCCTCATTGAGAAGGCAAGCAATTCCATATAGATTATATATTGTAGTCATACAAAACATATCCATAATGCTATGTTGTGAAAGAAAACATAGACAAAAAGCCTCAAGAAAAATAAAGTGAAAAAAAAAGTTGCTTCTGTCTATTTTCAGACACCATCAGTTGTTTCTCTGGGAATGGATAGTATTTTTCATCTTAAGTCCTTCAGAGCTGTCATGAACCCTTGTATTGCTGAGAAGAGCCAAGTCATTCAGAGTTCATCATCTTACAATATTGCTATTATTTTGTACTTAGTACATTTCACTTTGTAACAACCCACCTAAGTCTTTCTAGCTTTTTTTGGAGAGCATCTTGCTCATTGTTTCTTATAGTATAAGAGTTTTCCAACATAATTACCTACCACAACTTATGTAGCCACTCCACAACTGATGTGCATCCCCTCCACTTCTAATTCTTTAATCCCCAGAAAGGATCTGCTATAAATATTTTTGTACATATAGGTCATTTTCCTTTTTCTTTTCTATCTCTTTGATCATACCGATCTAGGAGTGGTATTGCTATGTCAAATATGGTATATTCTAAGCATGGTTTCATAGCTCTTTTGTCATAGTTACAAATCACTCTATACAATAATTTAATCAATTCACAACTCTAACAACAGTATGTTAATGTCTCCTTTTTCCTTACCTTTTCTGTCCTATTATCTAATCTTATAGGTATGAGATAGGGCCTCAGAATTATTTTGACTTGCATTTCTCCAATCAACAGTGAGGTAATTTTTTAAAATATGGCTATAGATAGCTTTAATCATTTAATCTAAAAATTGATTATATCTTTTGATCATGTATCAATTTTGGAATGGCTCTTATTTTTTTTTATAAATTTGACACTTTTCTACATGTTAGAGAAATTAGATCTTTATCAGAGAAAGGTGCTTTAATTTTTCTTCACACTTACTGTTGCTGACTGTATTTCCCTCCATCCTATGCCCTTACCCTTATTTATTCTATTTTCTCTCTCCTTTCACCTTGTCCCCCCTCAAAAGTGTTTTGCTTCTGATTACTCCTTCTCCCAGTCTGCCTTCCCTTCTATCACACCCCTTCTCTTATCCCCTTCCCCTTCTATTTTCCTGTAAGGTAAGATAGATTACTACACCCCATTGCCTGTGTGTCTTCTTTCTCAGTTACATGTAAAAACAATTTTCCTTTTTAAAATTTTGAGTTCCAAATTTTTTCACTTCCTTAATCCCCACCTACTCTCATTGAGAAGGGAAGTAATTCAATATAATTTATACTGCTGTATTCATGTAAAACCCTTCCATAATATTCATGTGGTGAAAGGCTGACTATTTCTCTCCATACTATCCTGCCCCCCATTTACTCCATTCTCTCCTTTCACCCTGTCCCTCCTCAAAATTGTTTGCTTTTGACTAACCCCTATTCGTGAATCTATTGCAGTTGTCTTAGATTCTTACATTGCTGTGAAAAGCCGAAGTCTATCAAAGTCAGTCATCTCATAATGTGTGATGTGAGAGGATGCCCATAAATTGGGTAATAGTCGAACAAGTTGTGGTATATGAATGTAATGGGAAGAAGTATAAGAAATGACGACATCTACAAAAGTGTCATGATGGAAAATGTTATCCATATCCAGAGAAAGAACTATGGAGTTGGAACACAGATCAAAGCATACTATTTTGTTTTGTTTCTTCTTTCTTTGGTTCCTCCTATTGGTTCTAATTCTTCTTTACAACATGACTAATGTGAAAATATGTAATAGGATTGTATATGTAAAGCCTATATCAGATTTCATGCCATCTAGGGAAGAGAGGCAGGGAGGAAGGGGGAGAATATTTGAAACTCAAAAGCATATGGAAGTGAATGTGAAAACTAAAAATAAATCAATAATTTTTAAAAAGGAGGGAAAAAGAAAAACAAGAATCACCTACCTAGCAAAACTGAGTGTAATCAATGAGGAGAAAAATTCACATTCAATGAAATAGATGAATTTAATGCACTCTTGAGTAAAAAACCAGAGTTAAACAGAAAAAAAATGATTTTCAAATACAAGGCTGAAGAGAAGCATGAAAAGGTAAACAGGAATGAAAAATCTTAAGAGACTTATTAAAGTGGAACTGTTTACATTCCTACATGGAAGGATTATATTTGTAACTCATGAGACCTTGTTTATGATCAGGGTAGTTGGAGGGAATAGAGAGAGAGAGCACGGGTGAGTTGAATATGAAGGGAAGATATCTAAAATATAACATTAAGGGGTGAGAGCAGAATGTACTGGGAGAAGGAAAAATGGAGAGTTAGGATGGGGTAAATTATCTCCCATAAAAGAGGCAAGAAAAAGCTGTTTAAGTGGAGGGGAAGGGGGGGAGATGAGAGAGAAGGAGTGAACCTTCCTCTCATCGGATTTAGCTTAAGGAGAGAATACTGTACATACTCAATTGGGTATGGAAATCTATCTTATCCTATAGCAGGAAAGTAGCTGGGGCAGGGGAGAATAAGAAAGGGAGGGGAGATTGTAGAAGAGAGTGGTTAGAAGCAAAATACTTTTGAAGAGGGACAGGGTCAAAAGAGAGAACAGAATTAACATGGGGAAGGTCAGAATGGAGGGAAATAATGTTAGTCTTTCACAATGTGACTATTGTGAAAGTGTTTTACATGACTACACACGTACAACCTGTATTAAATTGTTTGCTTTCTCAATGAAGGTAGATGGGGAGGGAGGGAGAGAATTTAGAACTTAAAGTTTTAAAACAAATGTTAAAATTTGCTTTTACATGTAATTGAGAAGTAAGATACACAGGCAAAGGCG